TCTTTAGTTCCTCAGCAATTAAATAAGTGCTCACGTTACGGTCTGTTTCCACTATCTTCATGATTTTATCGCAATTTTCGACGACAGGCCTCCCGACGCATGGGGCATCTTTGTCATCGAAATTACCGGAACGGAACCTAGCAAATCACTTTTGTGCTACACTTCGTTTACAGCATCGGGCCCATAACCTAATTTATTTTTTTCAGTCGCTTTGACTGTTTTTTTGCCTTGATCGAAGAAAAATTGTAAAATATAGCGAATTTTCTCTTCGTCAAAGATGGACACCAGCTTTGACGAGCGCTCACAACGTACTGAGTCAATCAATCGAAAAACTGTCAAAGACTGTCAAACTTTTAGCGCGAATAAACACGTTTTCAGCGCCGTTTAGTATGACATGATGCGACACGTAACACTAGTACTATGGACAATAACGCCATCTCTTAGATAAAAACCGAGCGAAATTTTTACTGGACCAATATAATGAACTTAGATTTTTTGGTTGACGTTTTTCACATCAGCTCAATATCTTAAATTTAGGCTCTTCGGTAGAGTTTATATCACGTATACATATATCAATTGATATATAGTAATAAAACTAAGTAAGTCTATAACCTTAAAAATAAGTTAATATAATATCAAATTTGATTGTAATCCATTCATAATTTCGTCAAACAATGAAGTTGGACCCATTCGCTACATATTTTAATATTGTCAACAACTGAAGGTATTTAGCCGACTTTGATCATTGCAAGCCTGTTCATTACGAAATTACAAACCGAACTCAGTATAAATCAAGTAACCGATGTCAAAGCCACTAATTCCGAAAAAAGAGTATTTCACTGAAAACCAAATTTCTAAAAAACCACCCCTTTTGATTAATAAAAAGTTCAAAATAAAAGACTGATTTATGGATAGAGATTATGTTTCTGGGAGAGCATCATTTCCATCTCTTTCTAATTAATATCTACCCGCGTAAATTACGCTAAGGTTCGAAACCATCAATAGCTTTTCTAAATAATCCATTGAGTCTAAAAATGACAGCTGTAAATTTTGCCAAATTATTACAAAGAAAATAAATATTTCTACTTACTAGAGTTTTCATACACAAATTATTAATGCCTATCTATTTCCTCACACATGCACTAATTATTGTTTACGTAGAAGCTAAATAATGGTCATCCGCACTACAACCATATCGGCAAAAACATACTTACATGTCTCCATCATCAATCAATGATCAATCAATTCAAGCCCTTTGCTTCCACTTTTGCACACTACCAACTCCGCTTAAAGGGTCCAAATGATGCCGCTCAAAAACGGCTCGGCCCCAAGCTTACCAAATTAAAACGTGATTGCGGGAGTAAATGTCAACTGCGAATGGCACAGAAAGGCGTTAGAACAAAGTGGCATGAACAAGAGTAGTTGCAATCCATTGGTTGAATGATAATATGTTCGTGGGGAAGAACGATTTGCAAAACTTTCCGACGAGCGCATTTACTATTCATGCACACAAACATACACACACACACTCATTCAGACAGGCCAATTAAGTTGTTTGGCGAAACTTTTAATTATCGTTTGGCCAAGTTGCCCGATCTGAGTAAACAATACGAGTAAAAGCTCATGCATAAATGCAACTGGGAAGACATTACTGCTCGTGCACATACTAACACATATACACATACGTGCAGAGGCAAGTGGTTTTGTTAGTGCGAAAAAAGTTATGGCCAAGTGATAAAGAGCCGTATAAAAGCGTACTGATTGATGATTTTCCGCTTAAAGTGCATAAACTACGAAACAGACGGTGATAGTGGACGATTAAAGGAGCGCAAGGAAACGTAAGTGAATAAATGGTGCAGTGTGGATCGTAGACAAGAGTTTGGTAAAACGGATTCAGGACCAAAACAAGTCGAACTATAACTCTGACAGATGGAGCCAATTTCATGGATATATCAACTCAAATATAAAATTTTCCCATACAAAGACGGACAGACAGATGGGCACAGCTAAATCGACTCAGCGCGACATGTTGATGATGTATTGCTATGATTTTTCGATTATGTTAAGCGTTAACGAGATATTAATCGTCAAACAAGTTGGCTAAATTTCTTTGGTAAAATTAAAAAATGTAGCGAAAGGGTTCAATTTCATTGTTTGACGAAATCGTAAATGGATTACAATCAATTCTTGTTTGAAGGTCATCGTCTCCCTTAGTTTTATTGCTGCTGGGGCAGAGAAATTGAAGGGTTGATTGTATTACTTTTAGACATTGCTCAGATATACTTGAGAACTTATTTTCAAGCAATTTTATAAATATATAAATATAAACATATACTTGTATATGAAGTAAAGTCAGCCGGACGTTTCAAAATCGTAAATATCAATTATATGGGGCTAAAGCAAGTTTTCGCCTGATTTCATCCATTTTAGGCACAAAAATACACTGTTATTAAAAAGCACGCTTTCTCAATTTCATTAAAATAAATTGCACATTGGCCAATATATGGTATGTGTATAAAGTCATCTGTAAGTTCGAATATCTTTATATTGGGTATGTATACTAGTATGGAGGGTAACGGATTGCTTCAATTCCTCCCATTTTTGACACAAGGGTATATTAGTATCAAAGAAACATTTTCCCCGACTTTCAATAATATATCCCATAGATTGACCATATTTTCAGCAGAAAGTCAGCCGTACGCACTTGGGTCCAAACATTTAGCGTCTGGATTCTTGAAAAGTTATAGTCTGTAAAGTTTTATCCGGATACCTTGTTTGGTTCTTGATTTGTCTAGTGGAAAGAGAAAGAATCAGATGGAATTTAAAATGGCTTTATATTATATGAAAAGTAGGCGTGGTTTTTGTCTGATTTCGCCTATTTTCACACCGTAATATGGATTTTCACCTAAATATGAGCGGTGCCACATCCGTCGTCCAAAATTAAAATTGTATGTTTCTGAAGCATTTAGTCATTGATTATATACATTAAAGGATTTATCCTAAGCGAATTGGGTTATTGTAGCTTTAGTGGCTAAAGAGATATGAACATTAAATTTATTAGAGAACGAGGCCAAGTCCATTTTTTTTTTTTTAATTTTTAGTTCGCTGGTGCCGCATGCCAATGCAAACCCCTGTTACAAATCAAAGTTTTTATACTCTCGCAACCTGTTGCTACAGAGTATAATAGTTTTGTTCACCTAACGGTTGTTTGTATCACCTAAAACTAATCGAGTTAGATATAGGGTTATATATATATAAATGATCAGGATGAAGAGACGAGTTGAAATCCGGGTGACTGTCTGTCCGTCCGTCCGTCTGTCCGTCCGTCCGTGCAAGCTCTAACTTGAGTACAAATTGAGATATCTTTATGAAACTTGGTAGACATGTTTCATGGTACCGTGAGACGGTTGGTATTGCAGATGGGCGTAATCGGACCACTGCCACGCCCACAAAACGCCATTAATCAAAAACAAATAACTTGCCATAACTAAGCTCCGCAATAAGATACAAGACTGTTATTTGGTACACAGGATCACATTAGGGAGGGGCATCTGCAGTTAAAATTTTTTTTTAAAAGGTGGGCGTGGTCCCGCCTCCAATAGGTTTAATATGCATATCTCCTAAACCGCTAATGCTATAATAACAAAATTCACTGGAAGCAAATGCTTTTAGCACTTCTATTGACGGTGTGAAAATAGTTGAAATCGGGTGGCAACTCCGCCCACTCCCCATATAACGGTACTGTTAAAAACTACTGAAAGCGCGATAAATCAAGCACTAAACACGCCAGAGACATTAAATTTTATCTCTGAGATGGTATAAGATGACTTTATAGGAACTGCGTTCAAAATTAGACAGTGGGCGTGGCACAGCCCACTTTTAGGTGAAAACCCATATCTTGAGATCTGCTTAACCGATTTCAACCAAATTCGGTGCATTACGTTCTTTTCATGTTTCTATGTCATAGTGCGAAAATGGGCGAAATCGGACTACAACCACGCTTACTTCCCATGTAACACCATTTTCAATTCCATCTGATTCTTTCACTTTCCACTATGCAAATCAGGTAACAATGATTATATCGGGGTAAAACTTTGCGTGAATAATGCAATTAAAGTATGCCACCTTGCGGCCAAAAATTGTCTAAATCGAACCAAAACTGTTCAAACCCCTAAGTACTGAATATGTGGACCCCAGTACCTATAGTTGACCTTCTACCGAAAATATCAGTCAATCCACAAAGAAATCTCAAACGAGTATACCATTTGACTTTGCGAGAGTATAAAATGTTCGGTTACATCCGAACTTAGCTCTTCCTTACTTGTTTTGTTTTAATTTAGTGCTTAGTTGTGGCATTTATAGGATTTCGATTAATGGCATTTTGTGGGCGTGGCGGTGGTCCGTGTGCCCGTCTACGAACCTTTCCTTTCTTTTTTTCCAAGGAACGCGTGTACAAAGTTTCATTACGATATCTCAATTTTTACCCAAGTTACAGCCTGCGCGGACAGATACTTATCCGGATTTCAACTTGTCTCGTCAACCTGATAATTTATATATACATAACTCTTTATTTAACTCGATTATTTTTCGAAGATATAAAACACCATTAGGTGAACAAAACTATTATACTCTGTAGCAACATGTTGCAAGAGTATACAAATGTTTAAAACTTATCAGTCTTAAATGTTTTATTCTTTACCTCTTTTAGTTTTTGAAACAAATGTTTGCATACATTTATCAACAATTAAGATTCTAACAATTTGTTGCTTTGGAAAGAGGGGATATATTATGTACAATTAACTTAAATCTAGAAATTTAGGGGTCTGATATATGCTTTTTTAAATATTAGAAAAAGAAAGAGAGGCAGAGAGATATAACTAACAGTAGTGCCGATGTCTGATTTTAGAAACTCTTCTATAAACTTTTGTATGATATTTTGTGTATAATCGATATAATATTATCTTTTCTTTAAGAGATGACATTTCTCATGCTCAGTTAAAAACTAGGGAACACATAACCGCTCTAGTGAACTTTTCTGTGACCAGTAAAATGTTAAAATGATTTTTAGTGAAAATTATCTTCGTAAAATCTTTCGGTACACGAACTGGCTTTTCCTATTGCTATTGCAATTTTAAATTAATAAACACCACGGGAGTAGTGGCACAGCAGAGAATTTAGAATGTTCTTAAATTGGCCCCAGAGATTAAAGTAGTGTTAATGAATAAGTTAAGTAAGTTTTTCAAGCGAAGACGATAATGAAATAAAAAATCTATGAACGAAAGCTAGAGTAAAAAAAGTATTATTGGAGGATCTGTATGAACCAATTTTTCAGTTCCATGCATTATAAGTAATTAAGCTTGACGATCATGCGTTATCTACCGATAAGCTACCATAAACCTTTACTACCAAATGGGCGCCATCCGCCGATCGACTGGCAAATCTACGGGTTTTTATGCGCGAATTGTTGGCCACTCGCGGCGTTAATTACGAAAACCCGTTACATCGTCGATATAATGGTGATCATTATGCAGTTTATGTCCGAGAGCATGGTTCTAATTGGCGAAGCTGTAGTCATGCATGACAATTTAGATAACATCAGCTTTGTCTGTACTGTCTTGGCACCGAATTTGATATTATTTGAAATGATGCTGCGCGTTTATAATATTATCTATAGCCGCAATAGTTTTCGAACACACATTGAGGAGTTTTACAACAAGATCTATATACAACGGTATGTAATATCAATAAATCATAATTAATTATATTTTTAAATAGTTCCATTCTTTTACAATTTTTTCGTTCTATAGCAGCTGGAAACCGGAGGTTTTCGAGAAAATACGCCGCCAACAATTGCCCACCAAGTATTCGACGTTCACCTTTATTATTACACTGGTGACCTATGTTTATGTGCCGGTAAGCGGTTTATTCAAAAATGAGCGCTTGCTACCTTTTCCCATCAACTTTGGTTTTGACTATACTGTGCCTTGGCCGCGTTATTTAGTATTTCTCGCTATGTCGATGTGGACAGGTTTCGCTGTTGTGGGTCCCTTGATCGCCGAAGCCAATATATTGGCCATGCAGATATTACATTTGAATGGTCGCTATTCATTGTTACTAGATGATTTACGCAATATTTCTAGGGAATCCATTGTCGAGCATAAGAATTGCAAAGGGAAAGATAATATGTTAATTACGCAACGTTTTCGTTTCCGTTTATACGAAATTATTCGTCGAAATGTTGAGTTGAATGACTTCGCCAAGTCAATGCAGAAGCAGTACTCATTTCGTGTGTTCGTTATGTTGGCCTTGAGTGCGACTTTGTTGTGTGTTTTGGGATTTTTAACAGCAACGGTAAGTTAAAAGAGATTGTTATCAGATTGGCATTATAAAGAGAATTTAAGATGGTTTATTTGTCTCATCTAATTAAGTTTTCTGAACCTAGTAGTGGAATGCGTAATAGTTTAGAATAAGGAATATAAGATCCCTATATAATAGAATGTAATATAATACAAGTATAATAATAGGAAAGTATAAGTTTGTCATTTAGGCGGAATTTCGCAGATATTTTCGGATTGTCATACTTTTATTATTATTTCAGCTTTTTCAGTACGACTTTTGGAACGCAACCCTATTTCATTTTATAAAGAGGCATAACATAAACTTGTTTGGGATTAGTTAAGTTGTATTCCGTTTGGTTCACAATTTTGTGGGCATTCATGAAGGTTAATGTTAAGAATTAAAAAAGCTGTTTTGAAATTAATATTTTGTAAGCTCAACAGTATCTATTTCGGCTAAAACTTTTAAAGGACTTCCCCAGGAAAAGCTTTTCAAAACCGACTTTATCTGTACTCTTCCTTTAGAAAATTATCTGTTCTTACCGATCAATACATGGTATTAGATCCTTTCTATTCTGTCAAGATTTAGGTTATCATTACTTTGTTTTCAGCTCGGGCTAACTTTGAAGAATATTAGATTCGTAAGTTGGATAATTGGAAAGGTGGTTGAATTGCTGATCTTTGGACGCTTGGGCACAACACTTTCGACAACAGTAAGTACCGAGGTACAAAAGTGCTTTACAAGTGTATGTAAATAGTTTGTTTTGAGTAAATTGAATGATAAAGAAATTAAACATTTTAATGACTTAGGTGGCCAACCAGTATTTTCTCATATACTATATACAACCACTCATGGGTCTTTTGCTATTCTCTTATATGGTAATTTTAAGTATATAACTAATTTAATGTTATAATATATTTCTTCCCAGACAGACGAATTGAGCACGTCGTATTATTGCTGTGATTGGGAGGATATTATACTTTATTCAACTAACACAGAGGAGAACAAGAAATTGATGAAACTTATAGCATTGGCGATACATTTAAATAGTAAGCCTTTTCGTTTAACTGGTCTTAATTTCTCCGTCGTTAATTATGAAACAGTGGTAGCGGTAAGTGGAAATAGTGAAAACAATTTTCAGCATGTTCGTATATACTTATGGTATAATATAACTCTCCGCATTTCATTTCATTTCGTTACAGATTCTCAGAGGCGCAGGTTCCTACTTTACAGTTATTTATGCCTATAGATAAATGGTTAGAAAGTGAATATAGAAACAGTAGTAAATAAGAAAAATGGAATGAGAACGGGTTAATACTGTATGAATTATGTATTTTAAATATATAATGTACATTAACACAGACATAAATGTAGTAAAAATAAATTTTGTTTTTAGAGATTCTGCACATTAATAAATGCAATTTTTTTTGAACCTGGAAAACTTTTTGTCTTCCATTGAACATATTCGACTAATAAACTCTTACCTTAGTTTTCAATGTTTATCAGAACTGTAAAACCTTTTTAGTAAGACGTTGTGGAGAAAAAACGATTTAAAATGGCTAGAGCCCTTCACGATTAGGTTTTGGTTTTCTGAATATTAAAATATTTGTAAGGGTTACTAAATTATGGACCGTTCGCTGTAAGGTAAAAATTTAATGAACTGGTGCATCTGATAAGAAAAGCTAGCTTTCTCATTGTAATAAGGTGAGACTTCAATTTTTAAACCTGTTTCATAACATTAAAACGATTACCATAAGGACCATTCATATCTTAAATGAAAGCTTGAATTTAAGTGAGGAAAATATTTGGAAGAAGAAGTCGGCTGCCTTGATCAGTATTAGCCTCTATCACCACTCTTATGCTTCGTTCCAATGATTTGCAATCACCACTAACACCCGTACTCCGAATAAACGAAAAACAATTATGACAGTTTGGCAGGCGCTACTGTGGGCAACAACATCATCACAATTAACAATAAATGTGGTAGCAATGAAAACTTTTCGCATGCGGAAAAGAGGAAATAACCAAGCAATTGTGTTAATGTTACCATTGTTGTTTTTGTTGTTAAACCGATTATTATACTGAGTGAATAACATCAATATTATGTGCAGCATCGATTGAGAGTGCTAATACACCCACACTCACACATACACTTGTGTATACATTTATTTATATAATGCATTGCGGTATGTAGGAGGGTGGAAGTGTGCGTTGGTAGACGTGAAGCCACAAAGACAAGCAGTTGTGAAAACATGCACACGTGCAAGTGTGTTTATTGACACACGTACACTTTTGTTGTACCCAAAGTGGGAGCAGCTGTATTGTTGTGTGGGTATGTGTGTGAGCCAAATGTTCTTAAAAGCAAACCACAGGCTAAACGCACACGCAAAAACACATACATATACTTATAGTACAATTCTACTGCTACATTATTTATATTTGCGGAGTTGTGGAGAGTTGAAGGCGGGAAGTGAGCGTGTTTATGGAAGGAGTGTAATTGTGAAGAATCCCTGTTTGCCAAGTAATTGTTAAGTTCGGGTTTTGGTTGAAGGAAAAAAGTTCATTCAATACTTTAAAAAGTTTTTGTATCACTTCCACTTTTTGCGCATTTGTATAAAATACAAAAATGGGAATGATGTGCCCGTTTTGAACCTGGACTAAAATTAGAACGCCATCGAATCCTGCTCAAATTGATCCAAATAAATTGAATGCACTATCAAGATGGTACAGCTAAATGTGATGCTGAAATAATAATACAATGATTCCTGTAAAATGTTTTCTCATACATCAGAAAGTCTACCAACAAGAAAAATGCATGCTGGTCTTATATGAAACTAAAATGGTACTATCAAGGGAGTTGAAGTAAGATACTTTCTCTTAAGGTGAGAAAGCCCAGCATTCAAAAAAAAAACTATGTTTCCATGTGTGTTTTTAGAAATGCTGGGAAACAACATGTTATAGTTGTTGGGGATAATAGTGTTAAATATTAATAGTGGAGCAGAAAAGCAGTAAAATATTGCAACTACTCTCTCAAAGAGCCTCTCTCTGACATTTAGCGAGGTCAATGATTCTTTGCGTGGTTTAAGGCCATTGAGTCCGGGAAGGGTTAATTACCTATAGCGTGATTAAGATAAATATTTTTTTTAACAATAGATGAATTAAACATCGATCTCGATATCATTTAACTTTGCACAAATAGTGTCTCTATACTTATCATATATCATAAAATTTTCGTCAATAAGTCGTTACATTTAGGGATTTACCAGCGTATTCTGAAAATTATCTTGGAAAGGTAAATCTAGAGGGATAATTCATTAGTCAACAATCGAGTCGTGTATGGTAATTGCTAAGCCGCTGATCTAAATGCTCAAATGCCGTTTATGTACCACAAAACCGTTATGCAGATAATGACGGATATTTAATAGGCGCATATAAATGATGTTTCTGATTTTTATTTATAAATGTCCTACCAGCGACACTAAAATCACAAATTTTTACCAATGTTTGCGAACTCACAACAAACCTTAACATTCAAATATATACTTGTACAAGTAATATTAACTATATAGATATTTTAAATTTTTAGATTTTTATAATGTATATGAATATCATTCTTGTGATTTTCTATAAAATTCTTATTGTACATATGTATAAATATTTATTCCTTCTAAAGAAAAAGTTAAAAAAATACAAGGAAGGAAATGCTAGGTTCGGGTGCAACCGAACATTTTATACTCTTGCAATTTGCAAAGAACAAAGCCGGGGGTTGGAAAAATTTCATTAAGGGTGTTTTAAAATTAACGCAAGATTGGAATTAAATAGAAACACATAGTTTTCAGTCTTTCGATTGTAATTTGTGTATTGACTAATAAAGTACATAGAATAGGGTTATTTATGGAACACATCGGCAAATGACCTCCATGACTTTCCATTTACATACGTACTCGTTTGTTCAAATTTTCAATTCTGCATAAATGTAACTAAGTTTCATTGATGCAACGTTGAATCTTCTCCTCTAAAGTAAGCATGTTTGTGGGCTAGTTGCAATAGACCTTTTAAAAAATCCTAGAAAAGAGATCTAATAGTATTAAATCACACGATCTAGGGGGCCAATTCTGATCATAAAAACGAGAGAGTACAGAACCAGGAAATGTCTTATGCTGTAATTAAAGTGTTTCACGGGCTGTGTGACATGTGGCACATTCTTGTTGATACCACATATTGGCCACATATCATCCAATTTCGACAAAAAGAACTGGGTTATCTCGTCGCGATATCGAGCACCAGTAAAAGTAACTACTTGACCAGCCTCATTTTCAGCCTCATGTTCCAATAATGCCTCCAGCCCAAAACTGCGGCCGCCAAGCTTTAATTGAATTAATGCAGACACGTTGTTCTAACGTGTAACGCTACATTTTTAATAAGCCTAAACCGTCAGCTGTCGATTTGTTTTTAAGCTATTGCATAGCTTCTATCGCGGGCTTTGAATGCGACGAAAAATCAAGATTTTCCGTAACGAAAATAAACCTAACACGTATAATGTTTGTATATCTGCCTACATGCAACATATGTATGTATGTAAATATGTAGTTGATTCATGCGAAATATTTATGTATGAGCATGCATATATATCGACGCAGATTTTGCGAGCCATTGCCATATTTGTCACTTTTTTCTGTGTTTGCGGGTTTGCAGGGTTGACACTTCTCTCTTCCAGAAAGAACATCTGAAAGTTATTCAATTTAAGATTTTTTGCTTTTGCAGTCGTCGCGAAAAGACGTTTGTAGGCAAACGCATGTTGGAGGAGTACGCGTAAAAATTGTGTATAAAGTGTTTTAAATATGAATAAACAAAGTGCATTTATTAATGAAGAAAGTGATGAAAAAATAGTGAAAGGAAATGAGTGAGTATTTTATATTCATACGTACATTTTATTATCATCACAAATGCAGGCGAAATTCGATAAACAAACCCTTAGTATCGTTCTTTTTGTTCAAATGTTTTGAATAAATAAGGGTCGGCTTTAGAATAACGTCCCAGGCTTTCGGGGATAAAATGGGTATGGGCGGATAGAGGAGATCCTCCAGTTCAAGAATATATATAGATATAGCCGCGGGAAACTTATAGTTTTCGAGATATTTACGTTTAAAATTGAAAATTTCAACTATTTAAAGTACGTATTTTTGCGATTGAAAATGAATTATACACTTATATTTTTCACTTTTATATCCACTAACACTTGACTAATTCGTTTTTAGAAATT